CCGCAACCTCGACTTCAGCGAGGGCAATGGATATCTGAAGGGCGTGGTCACCGACATCATCCATGACCCTGGCCGCGGTGCGCCCCTTGCCCGCATTACCTTCCGCCACCCCTTATGTTACAAGCACCAGAAGGAGCTCTTCGTCGCGACTGAGGGAATGTACACCGGCTAGTTCATGTATTGCGGCTGCAAAGCCTCCCTCATGGTTGGAAATGTTCTCCCTATGCGCTCCATCCCTGAGGGCGCTGTCATTTGCAACATTGAGCACCACGTCGGAGACCGTGGAGTGCTCGCAAGGGCGTCTGGGGACTATGCTATTGTCATTAGCCATAACCCCGGTAACGGCACCAGTAGGATTAAGCTCCCATCTGGTGCAAAGAAAATTGTCCCAAGTGGCTGCCGTGCTATGATTGGGCAAGTTGCAGGTGGTGGTAGAACCGAAAAACCTCTTCGCAAAGCAGGCAATGCCTATCACAAATATAGAGTGAAGAGAAACTGCTGGCCAAAGGTTCGTGGTGTTTCTATGAACCCAGTAGAACATCCCCATGGAGGAGGAAACCACAAGCATATTGGTCATGCCTCTACTATTCGACACGACGCTCCTCCAGGACAGAAGGTTGGTCTCATTGCTGCAAGAAGAACTGGGAGACTCAGAGGACAGGCTGCTGCTACTGTTGCAAAGGCAGATAAGAGTACTTTTAGAATTAAATTATCATCAGTTATCTTTATTTATTTTTGTCTGAGTGAGTAAGTTTTGTTGTTGAAAACCCTTATTAGGTGAGACTGTTGTTATCTGATTGATGTTTATGTTTGTCATTTCTTTGGAACTTAAAGTGTTTGTGTTGGAAAGTTATTTCAAGATCTAAGATTTAAAGCTTGCTTCTTTTTGTAAAAAAAAAAAAAAAAAAAAAAAAAAAAACAGCTATCTACTCACCTGACTGCAGAACTGTTGTCCGCTCCTTCCCAGACAGCAGAACTGTCGATGTAGGAAACTACAAGCCTTGATTCATTCACACAAGATTATATGCTTGCTCCGATGTAAAAGATTGATGCAATGTGGGGTTAGAAACGAAGAGATTTTAATTTTCACTAGCCTGGATTGCGAAAAATGTAAGATTTGTTTGGGGGGGGGGGTATTTGTTTGGGGGGGGGGGGTTTGGAGAAACAAAATGTTTGTTAAGAGGCTGTTTGGTTGGATGAAAAAGAAATGTAGTATAAACTGAAATATAATGTAAAGTGAACGTAGTATATTTGAAGTTATTTGGATGAATGCAAAAATAAATGCAGACGATTACTTTATCTTGTTTAGCTTTAAGTAATATGAATATAGTGTAAAGCCTAAATGAAGGTGGTATGGTGGTCGGCGGGTAGCAACAATGACTAGCGGTTAACGGAGGTTGGTGGCAAGAATGATAGAATTTATAGTGTTTTTGTAAATTGACCAATTTTAATGATTTTCAAATTCACCAAAAAATGAACTGCAGGGTGAATTCAAAATACTTTAAAATTTTACTCTGCATTTTTTTTCTTTAAACAAAATATTAATATTTTCAAAACTACTACATTTTGAATATTCTGCATCCTTTTACTTCAAATCAAACAACCCCTAAAAGAAAAAAAAGCTAGGTAGTGGGAAAACTTACTGATAAGGGGTTAATTTCCAAGGTGCTGGAATTGAGAAATGGAATTTTAAGGGTAAAGCGACTTGGAAGAGGGGATTTTGTTGGAAACAATTATCCAATAACACTTCAATAATTAATAACTAGCCTTACGGTCTTGTATAAGCTTAAAACAAAAGTAAATTATTTTGAGTTTATTTGTGATACTTAAGTTATTAATTTTACTTTTTAGTAGCGTTTTCAAAGTGTTAAGTGTAAGGTGATGTGCAATGTTTTTTTTCTTTTTTCTTTTTTTACTTTAATGCACAAAGTGCAAAGCAAAGTGAGGCTTTGATGTACTAAAGTGTTCATGACATATATGCATATTATTTGCATAAAATATTCCTTTTAATTAATCAAATTTAAATTATATATGATAATGATTTTCTTAAAATATAATGATGCATTACATAATAATGATTTTTTAGCTATTTGAAAGCTAAAAAGAGATCAAAATTCATAGATGAAAAAATGTTTCAAAATCAAGAGATTGAGCAACCTGCATGAGATGAAGAGGTTGAGGTAGTGTGAAGTGAGTGAGTTTGAATATTTGGTATTGATCAATCTCAAGAAGAAGTCCGTGATTTAGAAGTTACTGCGTCAATAACAAAAAACATCTAGAAACATATAAAAAAATTTAGCAGGTAAGATAATGATGAGAAGAACCATTAAGAGGAGAATAGGTCAAGCAGGATAGAGTAAGAATATATGAGCAACGATGACTCAACCACTATGAGAAACAATGAGAATCGAACATTCATGCATAGTTATTATGGCATTGCTAAACCAAACCAAGAATTTTAAACCCAGAATTGAGCGCACAACACTACAACTAGATGCCGCAAGGTTGTGCAGCATGCTTGCTTTGCTTTGAGCTTGTGCTTCACAAGCAAAAGATGTGCAATCCTTGCACATTGCTTCGCTGCTCTACTAAAGCTCTTTTGAAGCATGCATTTAATTACACTGGGTTTTGGGTATCGTTCTTATATGAAAGAGCATACATCAGTATATAAAACTGAAAAAAAAGCTATCAATCATGCTATTGATGTCACCTGTCTTGATTGGATAGTGGCTATAACAGAACATGCTAGAATATTAAGTTTATTCTTAGGTCTCATTTTGCTACCTTCGATTTTTTCTGCTTGTTTGGTTACCTGTGCTAAAAACATCTCTTTTACCACTAATTATACCTTACTGGATGAAATGTCTGAAATCAATATCCTTTCACCAAAAGGTCTCTGAAAATGGTTACATTTACTTTTTCCTGGTGGTACCTTGTCGAAGCCTTTATTTTAGTGGAAAATATTTCTTTTCCCCATCCTTCCCATATTTCAACAAAAATTCCAATATGTATCTAGATATTCGCCATTTGATTTCTTTTGCTTGACTTCCCCTATATTTCAACAGTAAGGAAGTTGAATTTTGTCCTTGTAACCCATTTTTTTCCTCTTGCGGGGCTATTAGCTGTGTCTTGTAACTTTAGCATGTTGTGAAAGACCGAAAGATGTCCTTGATATGCTCTTTTTTTTTCTCCCTTTTTTCTTTTCTTTCAATGAAAGCTCCTCTCACAATGTTATATTGCAATCTACTGCAATCAACCAGAATATCCTTCAGAATTATAAATTTTTGTTAATAATGCGCAATAATGAAGCTTACAAATAAATAATTAACTAATCTATATAGAATAAATGTTTAATATACAAAGCATAAAACAATCTTGAATTGCATGCTAATCATAGAGAGAGAGCGACTGGCGAAGTATCTTTTGGATAAAATCCTCTTAATTCATTAATTCATTATTCATTATTCATTAGCAGAGAAAAGAATAGTGGTTCTCATATGCCTTGTTTGGTAAACGGAACTGTTATTTGTTGCATTTTATCATTGTCAAGTATCCGTAGCTTTCACTACATTAACATGGATTGAAAATTTTCTATAAAGCCTACAAGTTTTTTTTACTTTGTGGTCTAATAAGCTGTAACATCTTGCTTATAATACATTGATTGGTAAAAATAAAAAGTTGAGAAATAGTACTATGAAAGACTTCAGGAAGTTATTTTGGGGCATTCTGTATTGTTGAGTAGAGTGCCACATCCTTCATAGATCAGGAATGCAGGCGTTCCAGCCCCTTCTAATGGATGTTCATGGTATTTGTTTACGCCCTTAGTTTCTAAGAATTTAATCCCAACTGTGTTGAGGATCAAATGACTCTTCACATATAGTAGGGAAGTGCATGACTATAGAAAACTTAGAAGTCATACTGAGCAAACAAATAACATGATTGTTCAGTATAGAATAAAATTACTCAATTATTAAAATGGCTCAAATATTCATAGCAAACATGCAAAGAAAAATGATGTTTATGAGTAAATCTATCATTGTGCAAATGATTAATTTGGAGTCCTCTAGGACTTTGATGATCCTTCATCACCTATTCTAGCAATTTATTGTCTTTTATCTTTGACCTGGTTTACGTCTATAATGATTAGCATTTCAGGGTTTGATTTTTCTTTTTAATCCCTCTCTAAACGAGAAGAAATGCAAATATGAGTTGCATATTACAGAGTGTAATTGCATAATAACAGTCTTGAACATAAACTTTAGCAAACATGAAGACTATTTCTGCATTTATTAGTCAAGCTACTGGAAATGGTGAATAAATCATGACCATGTTAACTTTACACGTTGCTTACAAACTTAGGGTGTATTTAGGACAATGTTTTCATATATTAGCTTTACGCATTGCTTACAAATCTCTATTTGGTTACTACATTTATGCTGTTTTTTTTGTGTGTGTGTGGTGAGGTGCTCTTCACAACCATAACTAGTAGAATGTGATAGTTGCAAGAAAAAATAGTCTTATTTTTTTTTTTGAAGTGTAAAAATTTATATTAATTACAACAATTTTGAAAAATCATACTTTTATATTAATTAGTTTTTTTTTTCTATTTTTGCTCCACAATTAATTTTATAGACAATTTTGACTGTCCCAAACGGGCCCTTCATCACAGCTAGGTAATTGTAATTGTAAAGGACATCAAATTTAGCAAGCAATATCCTTGATGAAGATTATGAATAGTTAAATCTAATACTGAAGTCTCAATGGAGTTTATAAATTGTCATTATTCAGCAAGAGAAAATATTTCACTGTAGATTATGACATGAAACTTTAAGATTGTTGCTCCTGCGATGCACCACATTGGGAGGGAGGGGGGGCCTGTATATTTGTTCAAAATAGGTGGGTGATGATGATGGTGATGATAATGATGATGATGATGTATGCATATATTCTCTTTTTCCTTTTCACCAAAGTGACTGTTTATTCATTATTTTCTGGTGTAGCATATTCACCGAAGAAAGGTTACAACAGTTGAAGAAAGGGATTGACATGCTGTGCCTGGAATCTCCTGAATGTTATGACGAGAAAAAAAACCATGGACAAGCTAATGGTAGGGATGTCATAATTTTGTCTGATGGTGATGAAGATGATAACATTGAATGCTCTACACCTACTACTGAATTTGCTTCCCCTCAGAGGGCAGCAGATGAAGTGAATTCTATTGATAACAAGATGCCTGAGGTGTGCCAAGAGACTAATGGAGCCTTAAATATCAAGGAGACATTTCAAGTCATTGTAGAACCAGAAGATCATACAGCTGAAGATGCGCCAGACTATGCTGTCCAAAATGGCCATGAATGTTTGGCTGAGGATGCTACACAAAAAAAACAATCAGAGAAGAATCTTCCTGAGGCTGTTCTACCCCTTTTGCGGTACAACCAGTACGAGAGTTCAGAATCCTCTTCAAGGTATTATTCTCTACCCCAAATTATGGAGATATTTTCTTATTTGATTATATTTTGATGACCTATGAAACCTAATGTCATTAAAAAAGATAAGTAAATCTAATAAAACAAATCTAACTAAAAACAATACAAAAATTCATCCATAATTAAGTATGGTTCTAAAATGAGTTGTAAATTGGTTTGGTTCAGCTCCTTTGTAGCTTGATTTTATTCATCCATCATTTGAATGATGCCATTTCCATCCACCCGTCACCTTTCTCCTTGTAGCACACTCTCGCTTTCCCTCTTTCTTTATCTTTCTTTAACTTTCTCTACCCTTTTTCTCTTTACCACACCCTATCTTTCCCTCTTTCTTTATCTCAATGTAACTTTCTCTCCCCCAACTACTCCCTATCTTATCTCTATTTCTATTTTCTCTAAAAAAAATAATAAAATAAAAAGCCTAGAGAAGAAAAAAAGTAAAAAAAAAAAGAATTCTCAAAAAAGAAAAAGGGGATGTCAAAATCATCACCTTATTATTTCACCAAAATCATTGTTGATTGTCTCACATGCAAGTACAAAAAATGCAACAACGCAAAACTCCTAAAATTCTAATTATGTCGCGTTTGGCGCGACTGGCGCGACCTCATATGCACTCTTCTTAACACGATAGGTGAAATTCGTAGGTGATGCTTGTGATGTGGTTGATAAGATCTATGCACACCTTTCTTAGAACGATGAGGGAAGTATTCTATGTTGAAATTTTTTTTCGTGCAGGTAGCCCATGTGTGTCTTTCTTTGCAAATTGTGTTTTGAATATTATGGTCATAGTATCTTAGGATATCAATAATGCATGCCTTTCGTTGTATGTTGGGTAGGTTCAGATTCCCCATGGACGTCACTACATAGAAGAGATATCGAGAGTTTATCAAAATTTCGCAAAAAAGTTTCTTGAAAGACAAAAAAAAAGACTTTGCTAAATTGAATCGCTCGGCTAAAATGAATATGAGAAGTGTAAATTTATAAAATGAGGGATAGAAAGAACGCTCCTTTTTACCTGAATTGAATCACTCAGCTAAAATGATTAATCAGTTCAAAGGGATATAATTGAACACTAACAAAACTTACATAGAATTTTGAGGGGACTTGAAAGCTCGCTAATGAGTAAGAATAGGAGTTGGTAGCTTGCCAACAAACACAAAAATAACATTCATTCACTTAGAATACTATGAACTATGAATTAAAAATTGGGGGTAAAAATAAATTGCACTAACGCCTCTATTTACAGTCAAAGAAAGATTACCCACGGGAACCACCTAGGTAAAATCCAACCACATGTGGACAGACAATCACATCTAAAAAATATGGTAAGATTCTTACTCATGCTAGCCACTAGATTCAAAACAAGTAGTTGAAAGCGGACAAAACGTGAAATATTGAGCTTAAAATGAAAACTTTGTGAGCATCTCAATGACATAATATTAACACAAATAGTTAAATGAGAATTTGAAGACTTTTATGTGTTCTATGAGGTAATGTTCAACTCAAATATAATACATTGGAAGTCATGCAAGTGCTTTGAAAAGCATGGTAAGTGCACAAAAAATTTATATAAGTGCATTAAACAACATAGGAATGCACCTAAATGTGTAAATATGTTGTCCAAATACACTGAAATGCGTGCAAATACATTGAAATTCATGCAAATGCATTGAAATTCATGCAAATGCATTATACAAATATAATGAAAAGCTTGTGTATATATTAAGCAATTGCATTTAAAAAATGTGAGTGCATTATAGAAAGTGGAAAAATGTGAGTGCATTATACAAAGTGGATTAAAAAGTGTGCTAGTGCACCAAAGAGTGGGAAAAGCTAGTGCAAATGTGTTAATGAATGTGTAAATTTATAGTACATCAAAAAGCATGTGAAATACATCATATGAATGAACTGTGTATGCATATTCTTTAAAAACCATCAGTTGCTAATGTCAAATTGCCCACATATTTTCCGACAAGCATGCTAAGCACTCGAACATAAAATTTAAGAATACCGCGTGGACTGAGAACAAAAATGAACTTAGTTTGTGTCATGACCCTTCTTGGTGTCTCAAGTTAGCGAGAGAACAAACTGTTGAATGAATATCACAATTCTTTCTACAACATAATCAATAAAATAAACGTCCAAGTTTATCTGAAGTGACACTAAAATAGTTTCTAGTTTAAACATATAATAAAATAATTCTTACATATATTTGGTTGACCCTCTTCTTCTATACATGAAATTTTCTCGATCAACTATTTAATAAATAGGAGATTACATGGAATTGTGTTAGACCGGCCTAGTCAGGCTACACTGGACCGGCCCGGGTTTATACGAGGCAGAACAAAGTCTGCCTCCCGCATGAGCCGCGCGATTTGGGAGATCCAACAATGCCAGTTAGGGAAGTTTTGAGGGGGATTTAGGATGGAATTTTGAATGTAGGGGTTGTTTAGATGTTTCCTTCTAGATTGTATGCATTAAGGAGTACATTTTCTTAGGGTTATGGTCATCGTGAGTATTGCCAAAATTTCGTGTTTCCTTGGTATTCTTGGGCTCTAGCAAGGGAGGGGGAAATTATAGACGAATTAGGTAAAATGGAGAAGATCTGAAGGTCAAGAAGCTAAAGATGTCCATCTTTGATGGGGAGGATGCACACAGGTGGATTTACAAGGTAGAGAGAGATTTTGCCTTTAATGGTTTGATGGAAGAGGAGAAATTGACGTCAGTTGGCCTATGTTTGGAAGGGAAGATGTTGGCTTGGTACCAGTGGAGAGATATGTGGTGACCCATACATAGTTGGAGGGAGTTCAAAGAGTGCTTAATGGAACGTTTTCGAACTAGCAGAGGAGGGGACTTCTATGAGCAATTTTTTGCCTGCCCTAGTACAAGAAGGCTCGGTGGCAGAATAAGGTAAGAGATTTTAGTACATGGAAAGTCGACTGGATCGATTGTTCTGAAGGGGAATTTTCTGAAGGGGACCGAATATGGGATCTAAGCAGCAGTGAGAGTCATGAGGCCCTGAGACTTGGGAGAAGTGATGGAGCTAGCTCTGTTGGTGGAGGATCAGAAGTACTAGGAGAGGGGAGCTAGAGCAGTAATTCAGTTGCATACAGGATGATCACCATTTTCTTAGCACCCAAGGGGCCCACACTGGGGCAGTCTTCGTGAGATCCCAAGGGTGAAGCCTGTAGGAGGAAATGGGGGAAATTTTAAAAGATGACTGAGATTGACGTGCAAGAAAAAAGGGCAAATGGATTATGCTTCCGATGTGATGGGAAGTGTAATCCGGGGCACCGGTGCAATGACCAAACTCGTTAGGTTCTCACCATCTGTGATGACGAGGAAGTTGAGGAGGGTGGTGGGAGTGAGAATGAGGTGGAGGGCAAATTTGATGCGTGTAAACTAGAGAGAAAAACCAAGTTGAAGAACACAAGGACAAAATAAAACCAAACTCGATTCACTATAGCTTTCAAACAATCAAACAAATGTTCGAATAAGCAAAAGTCAAATCAAACAAAATAAAATAATAACATAAAAAATGTTATCCTCAGTACAACCGACTAGCAGTTTCCTCACATGCAATGAGAGTTGGAAAATATATGAAAATTGTGCTTAGGCTTGCAAACCGAGGGTCCACCATTGCAAAAGGGTCCAACGTCCTACTAAACTCCTTCGACAAATGTCTCAAAATTTTAGCCAATAAACAACTTCCAAGAACTCAAAAAGAAGGATACAGGTGGAGTGCAACTTGCGTAGAGAAGAAGGGGTTAGAAGCCAAGATGAAATAGAGAGGAGGAAAGGGGGGGGGGGGGGAACAAGCTCTCAAGCTTTTCCAAGAAGAAGAAACCCTCAGGCTTTAGTACAGACTTTGCTCAAATTTTCAACAACCTCTTCAAGCCTCAACTCAGCCCCTATATATAGGAAGATAGGGGGAAACGAAACAGCCACCCACCTCTATTCAAACCAATGAAAAAGATGGAAATAGGAGGCCAAGAGACATTCCAAACAGTAACTGAAAAGACATCCCAAATATCAGCCAAATTCATTCCAATCCAGCATGCAAGGGGCAAAACCAGCAGAAACTAAGGAGGCCAGGAGGGGGGGGGGGGGGGGAGGGGGGGGGGGGGGGGGGGGCGGAACCCCAACATGCTTTTCTTGGGAACAACAACAGTTAGGGGAAAACCGAGAGGGTAAGTCACACGTACAACAACAGTCAGGAGAAAATCGAGAAGACTAAGGGGAAGGGAAGAGACACAAGTTCACTCCACAGTAATGAGCTAAATATAGAAGAATACCTTTTTGATTTCATGAGCTAGGAAGTGTATTTACTCCAATTAATAAGCTAAACTTCAGCTCAAGCATTAATGAGCTAACACCAAGTAGAATCCAATTTTTAAGCTCAACAAAGCAGCCAAAGTCCAGCCCGTGAACAGCCAAGGCCCCAAACGAGAACAAGAAGTAGCCCAAGGACAAGGACCCAAATGCAAGCAAACCCAAGGCTTGACATGGCCAAGCACTTCCTACTATGATTATTGGATGCTTTCCATCATTGGATAGCTTATAAAAAAATAACTAATATAAAGCTTCGGATGATGCTTTTTCAGCTCTTTTGCATCCATCCAAGTACAGCCTGTCAAAGGATGATTCTTCCATTTTGCCAAGAATCTCATTTGTTCGTCATGCCGAATTTTAGTAACCTTGACATCAATAACATCTTCAACCCGTTCATCATAACTTAAAATAGATGTGGAGAGTGATAAAGTTTCATTTTTCACATGAACTTCAGAATTTCCTTCATATAAAGAAAGGTCAGAAACATTAAACATAGAAGAAGTGCCGACAGTAGAAGGAAGATCCAATAGATAAGCATTTGAGCCTAATTTTTTTAGAACATGAAAAAGCCCAAATTTCTTCCTGCTTAATTTTTCGAAAGTACCAACAAGAAATCGTTGGCTACGAAAGTAAGCCATAACCAAATCTCC